TAAACATATCAGGAGATATACATTGTATGCCACACCAGGGGCCCATTTGTATTATTATCCGCAATCAAGCCTCAGTTGCACCATCCCGATCTGCCCCTCGTCACCTGTTCTGTCCGCCTGCATGACACGTTCTATGGCTATAAAAGTCACCGTCATTGATATACGACCGTTCTGCGAGAGTTCACAGACCGCTAACTAGAAGATGAATGGTTTCTTTTGCTATCTAGACATTAAAACATCTCAGCAAACAGGGTAAGCCGTGTCTCTGAACAGCCATAATCATGATTGGTATGTATTGTACAGGAAATGACACTGTAGAATGTGCTCTGATTTGGGAGTGCTTTAAATTACTGATGAACAACTGAATCTTAAATAAGTGTTAGGTTTATTTACAAATAGGGATATACATACATTCTAGTTACGATTAAGGGAAATGGAAAGGGGATTTGGAAGGGGTCAGTAGGGATGGAGGTTAGGATCCTTCAGCTAACAACCACATTCTCTCGCTCTCATTCACATATGCCATGGGGTTTTTCTCTGTGCTCAGAACCCTCCTCTACAGCAGGTCTCAGTGAATCACATTCTTGATTGTAGAGTCCAGAAAGACTTGTTTTGTCCAAGAGGTCACCAAGGTTACCATTGTTCCGCTTGTGAGCTAGGTTTGTGCAGATGATCACACAGGAAGAAGGTTCCATCATATGCCCCAGTCCCCATCCCAGCAGGTATGCTGAATTGCTGACATAGGTGAGGGCAGTGAACACCAGCAGGGTGTCGGGCTTGTCCCAGGAGATGACAGTCCGGCAGATCTTCATTCATCAGTGTCCTGCCCCAAGGACACTTTGATGGTCCTCATATCACACAGCCATATGCTGATTCAGTCCAAGATATCAAGGAACACCTTCATATCAAAGCTTTTCCATAGATATTAATTTTATCGGCTCCAACAGACACCCTCATCTATGAACTATTGAGAACAGGTAGACAACGGCTGATATTGTGCTCCATCTATATGAGTTGAGATTTGTTATTGTGTGTAGAACAGAAGGTTTTCACACGGTGAAGGTACAAGAGGAACTCATATAATAAGAATGGAGCAGTCAGCCAGTTTATGGATGTCTAGAAGATACAGGCTGCAGTTTCATGGCCTGGTACTTAGACACTGGTCATAACACCTTCCACGTGTAACTAATGGTCAGGAAGGGAGACCTTAGCTCCAGTGGACAACACAGACCACCATAAAGCCCCTTTGTTTTATATCTAGTGCCGTTTTCTTTTTTCCTGCACGGAGCACGTTAAAAGATGATAGTACATAAACCGAGCGATAAAACCGCCTTAATT